ATTATGAATGGAATATACAAATATCGAGTTTTATTGTATGTTTTCGCTGTTAAGGCAAAATACATAACATATATTTTCATAAGCACTTATTGCAATGGCCTTCAGCTCCTTCAACGAATTTTGTTTTATCTCTTCGATTGACTGAAAACGGGTTCCACAGAGTGGTAATTTCAGTTTGTGGAACAAGAAAAAATTACACGGAGACAAATCTGGTGAATACGATGGTTGATCGATGATATTCACTGTTTTTGTGGCTTTCAACTTATCGGCAGAAGTCGAGCCGTGTATCACATTCAAAATATACACCAAAATCATTCGTACGGACTCGTGAGAGATGTCGAGCTCTTTTGTCATCTCTCTGGCACTTGCCTGACGACTTTCAAGCACCATGTCCTTTACTTCTTTATATTTACATCAGACGCATGTCATCAACGATCTCTCGGCCGTCTTTCGAAGGCTTTGCACCACTCGTAGGATATTGTTTTCGATACAACTGAAAAACCATAATCCTTTTCAAACATTCGCAATGATTCCGCATACGAAATTTGGTTAGAAATACAAAATTTGAGAAAAATTTTTGCTCAATATCCCGTTGTAAAAATCGCAATGCACTACTGAGGCCTACCGACTTAAGCAGTTGCTGTAAATAAAGTGGTTGACAGATGGCGCTTATATTTGTCAAAGTAATTAGGAACAGTTCTACCAACTTAGCGAAATACATTTTTTTGGAAATATTTACCCGGGGAATTTAATTACAATTTCGGATTGCTTTTTTGTCACGATGTAAATCGGTGTTTGTGCGGCCAACAAGCAGCATTCTGATGCTTTGGCTGTTAAGTAAACATTTTTTTATAGAAAATGATCTTATTTGTTTATAGAAGGTGATACAAACGACGTCTTTCTCTTAAACTGGTTCAATAAACATTCTAATAACGTTCCTGTGAAAGTTATTATTATACCCCAGCTTTGGAAAGCAGATCAATGGATGAATCTTGTCACCTTATCCTCCTCCACACAACTTTGGCAAGTTATGTCCGTAAAAATTTTTAGGAACACTCCACGAGGGCCTATTGGACCATTACCTTTACGATTGTACCAAAATGAATTTTGTTAAATTCAAGTACTTCAGAAGATATCCTGTATTCTACTTTAGACCAAAACGGTCTTACAGTTAGAAATAAGTGGATCATCCATTATTTCTGCTTGAAAAATCCTAGAGTGGTCCGTTAGCCTAAAGCTAGGATTGACGGAGAGCTCTTTCAGAAAACAACTCTCAACTTTCCAAACTGGCATTCAACCATCCGTGAAAAAGCTCACTGTGCCCCTTCTCCAGTTAGTCCTCCCCAGTCCCATATGTATGCCTAGTCGGTATGTGTGCAGTGAAAAAGCCGCCACGAGAAATGTAATTGAAGGATGAGAGAATGTCGGCGTGTTCTTGTTCGAACCGCTTCATATGTTCAGCTTTCCTGAACCTTGCAGCAGACTTCAAAGCAAATTACTTGCAAGGAAGCTATGTGTAAAATGGATTTAAGGTATATTGTTTGTGTAGTCCGCAGTTCACCGGAGATGCCTATGAGCGTTGCAGCCTTTCGATCGTCAACCATCAGACGGATACGTCATAGAGCATTGTTGGCTAAACGGTTTTCTAGAGCCTAAACACCACTTTTGGTTAGAGCCCTCAACTTTTTTCCATAGCTGCTCTACAGTTATATAAGGCAACCGATTTCCTCCTTACTCTCTCCTCAATATTATACCTCCATGAAAGCTTTCTACTAAGAAGAAACTCTAGGTATTTTCCTCTATCGACTTGTAACATTTTAGTTTCAAAATCACATTCTAATTCTTAAATGTTGAAATTTTAGAAAATCGATTCCAAATATTTCTAATTTTTCAGCTCTAGATTCCAGTTTAAAATTTCTTCTGATTTAGAAACAGCTTTACATAGCACAGATGAAAGAATATATGAAAAAATTTCAAAACATAGTGCTCTTTTCAATTACATCCAAAACATCGAATGTGCTGAAGGTCAATAAAATATTTTGCTTCCACGATACTTTTTGCTGAACATTGTCAAATATATCGAAATATACTAAGGTATGTATGTCTCGAAAATAATCAGAACTATGTATCTCATAAAATCAGAGAAAAATTATTTTTTCAATTTCTTTACTAAATTAATTCATAAGTATATATACAATTCATATATGTATATTCTGCTAGCGCTTTTAATTATAAAGTCTATACATAAAGTGTAAAGTCATTGCTGCTAAAGTTAGTCCGATCAATGTGAGTTTTGACCATGCATTCGTTGTCTGATGGGCTCCGTTCAGTGGCGTGTGAATATTGCAAAGATCTTCGGTGCAGACAGTACATGAAATCAAAGTGGCCCAGGGTACGTATGGATCGGGTGTATCACAAGCTTCGTCTATATTTTCTGGATCACCAAAATAACAGCTACGACGTATATAGAAACGACGGCCATCCACTGGTGTAAATAATTAAGTAAAATAGAGTAAGATAAGCGATATTTAATTATATTTTGACAGTTGAGAAAACTCAACGAAATTTCATTGCTCTTCACCTAGAGTTGGCTCAATCAGCTGACGTATACTAACTGTGAGAATATTCATATGCATATATACTTACAGCCCCTTCGTCAAACAGCCGGTACCTGGTATGCGGCGCTCGTATTTATGCAAATATATTGGCATATCCGCTTCATTACAATCTGTTTGCTTCACGCCATCAGGATCGAAATATTGATTACAGCGCGGATCACTAAGCGATTCACAGTCGTAGCAATCAATGCCAAAAGCTATTGTAATGCCATAACGGAAATGTAATGGAATGTGATTTGTTTGATGAAACTTTAACTTGATTTAGTCAACTATTTTCACTTACCAGTTGATATGAAGGCACAAATTGAAACAAATATTAAAATTGGTTTCATCGCTAAATGAATGGTCGATCTTAGAAATAGTAAGATATATACGTATCTCTAGAAGAAATTTTAAACTAATTGAATCGTTTGCTCACAAGTTGTTTTCTTTATTTCAACTAGATCATAACTAAAAATGTTCAACGAAATCGAAATTAAACCAAGAGATTGAAAATAAATTTGGTTTCTCAATAGACCATGACCGTGAGCGATATCCATGCGTTTGATTGTATATATAGGGGTTTCCAATAAGAGTGATACGATTACGAAATCACAGAGAAAGAAAATAAAATAATTTTTATTTAATGTGAAGTACACTCGAATACAAAATCATTGAAATGACCTCCACGACTTCTTTTGCTGGAACGAGCTCCATGAACACAATGTTCGGGTACTTTTTCTACTAAATGCAGTCGTATGTCATGAAAAGCACGTTCAATATTCACTTCAAATGCTTAAAGAGAGTCTGGTTTATTGCAAAAGTCCACAGACCTCATATAAGTAGTAGTCTAATGGTGTTAAATCATAACTTCTTGGGGGCCGTTCGAAGTCACAAGTTCTGGAAATAATCGAAACTCTGAACTTTTCTGGCAATAATTCGGTTGTTGCGCCCCGTCTTAATGGAACCAGATGTTTTCAAGATCAACTTCTTCTTGGTTACCATCGATCTTTACCGCTCTCCACTGACAGTAACAGTGTCACCAGCTTCATTTCCACCATTCCAACAAATCAAAAACCACAGCAAACTATCAATTTAGGTAGTGGATTTTCTTCGTACCATAATCGACAAATTGGTTTTTCTTACCGCAGCAGTAAAATGAAAGTGAGCCTCCTCGGTGAAGATGATTTTTTTCAAGTTGTTCCAAGGCAAAATCAGCAAAATCACGACGTTTACGGTGGTCCAATGGCTTCAGTTCTTGAGTGAGAACAATTTTATACCGATGCAAGGCCAAATCCTTTATCAAAATTCATCATTTTTCCATGATGTAATTGTAAACATTGCTTAATAAGTACAATGAAAAAAAAAAAAAAAAAAAAAAAAAAAAAAAAAAAAAAAAAAAAAAAAAAAAAAAAAAAAAAAAAAAAAAAAAAAAAAAAAAAAATTGCAGATCTTCCATATTTTACAAATGTCCGAAATGACACTTAGAAATCCTATCATCCCTATTGGAAAACCCGCTATGTTGGCAAGTGCCATAGGGTGTGTCAAAAAAACCGAAACATTTTTTCGCTTGATACTCTGATAGGGATGATGATTCGGTTCTTAGACACCTCCACGAAAATAGCTCCCAGTATGAGCTTTTAATTCTAACGTAGAGTTCTTCTGTCATACAATTTTCAATGTTTCCTTATTTGGATTCAAAACTCGCTTTTAATTACTTGAAAAAAAAAAGAAAAAATAGCTGACTTCATAGATTTTGTACGATTTTCATTGCTCTACAAAATGTTTTCATACTATTTGTTCTTAATCCAAACATTTTAAAGATATTAAGGGGTTAAATTTGATTATTTTAAATACGATTGGTGTGGATTTTGATCTGATTATTTGACATGCTATATTTCATTTTTTCTTGTGAATTTTAAAAGTTAATATGTCGCACAAAATAAGTGATTTTTAAAGATACTTTATTAGAGTCAACCCTTGCTCTAAATGATTTATAGATCCATATATTTTTCAAAATCTCTTTGCAATTTACATAAAATATGATGTACTTGGATAGTTTGACTAAAGTGCACCACATGTCAGTTAGGACCGTTACAAATTATATCAATATAAATTATTAGTAGCACTTTAGAAGCACTTTAGGAGGTAAGCGGTATTTATAAATTTCAAAATTTAAATTTTTTTTGCATTTAATTAAATTACGATACCTTAGACACTTTTGAAGTCAATTCAGTAAATGCTGTGCGAGTTATTCGCTAATTAGCAAAGGCTTCTCTAGATCACTGAAAAATTTGTGTAAAACTCAAATGTGTTTTTCTCCAAACTATCTTGCTTGAATATTTTTCCAAATATTAGTTTATTCACTGCGACCCTAATAAACATAAATATGCCTTTGTTCCTTTTTACTTATATGTATAAATAAATTATTAACTCGGTTAGAGACTCAACACGGCGGGTATGTCATGTTTTTATGTGACAAAGACAAAAGAGAGAGAGAGAGAGAGGAAAATTTAAAAATAAGATAAAATTCTCGTAATAATTTGTTTCCAAATATTTTGCGTTGGCGCGAAACCGCTGCAGAGAGGAAGGGGTTTCATCAAATCATAAAATCTACAAATAAAATAAAGTTTGCGCAAATACGTAGGTGTAAATCAACCGGAAGTAACGCTCTTATATTACCCTAATGAAATTGTAATGGTGACCGTTCGTTCTGACCAATTCTGACCAGCGACTATTTGCTTCGATGTACTTATAGTTAGTACAATTTTTGATGACATCATTTGAACCAACCGGAWAAGGTTTATTTTGGTTGAACTCTAAGCACTTACACTCTCTGCTCACATTTTTGGTATTAACTTAACCTTCCAGGATACTAATACATTTTTAAAAACAAATTTAATTTGATATTAAAATTGCAATGAAAGAACCAACAGCCGCGAATGTTTAATACTAAGTTAGGTTAGATAGCTGATCCCGACATTACGTGGGATCACACTAAGTTTTTGGAAGCCAAACAAAAACTGCTATTGTTGGATATCCCTGGACTTATTACAAATCAGCTTATGTGCTTCATTTATATTTCCTAGATGTATTAGGTGTTTTAGCCCTGATCTGGCAAAAGCGGCACATGAAGGGAGGCAGTATTGAGAYGATTTTATCTCATCTTCTTTCAAGCAACTGGCAATAGTTAGGAGTTCGGTTGCTACAGCCAATGAAAGGTAGCCCACCTAGACCTCTTACAATTGGACTTCATTAGACCTGAATAGTTCACTTSAGCTCTTATGATCAGCCCTGGGGCAGAAATATCTTAAAACTACACAGTAGCAGCTAGTAATTGACCAACGCTTGCTGAGCTGGTCTGAGGGCCAACAATCCASTAGGGTACCACAGGTAGCYAACGGAGGMGTTAYMCGTTCACATTCCAMAGTTATGCAGATTCACAGGCCACAGTAGGCTCATTGGCGTTGCGGTTCCTTTCACTACTATATAAGTCGATGCTACAGATAAGGAGTCTAGCCATCCCTATAGTATTCCTAAGCAGACAGTCGATGGGCTCAATGCCAATACCGCTGTCCTACTGTCAGAGCGAATAGTCATCACTCTGAAGGAAGCTGCGCTCCAAAGCAGTAGATCTACTTTTACCGTTATGGCAGCCAATACCGTTCGGAAGACGTTTCAGAGTTCAAAAAGCTAAAACTCCAGCTTTTCATGCTATAATTATACTTTATTTTTTATTTATTTAAAATGTTTTCTTTCACTACTCGCTACAAAAACAAATAACAAATAGTATTTCGCTCAACATCAACAGATGAATTCAGCTAACTTTATGTCTTTCTGTTGGAGCTGGATACTGAAGAAATCAGAGTTGAGTKGAATTTACAACACATTTATATTTTAGCTCAGCCAATTCAAGAATTTCGACGTAAACGCAAATGAAACGATCGCTAAATACTGCGGCCATGCCTTCAGTTGGTGACTGTGATTGCAGAAGTCCTCAGTGTCGCAGACATTACACGATACTGGCTCCGCTTGCTCTGTAGCAGGATCCAGTTGGCAACCGCTGTCCGTGTCATCCATGTCMCCGAAAAAGCAACTGCGTTCGATTCTCAGCAGATCTCCCACTGTGAACGCAAGAAAACAAAGACACTTTAATTTAAATTTTCAACGTAAGATTAGAGACATAAAATAAAAGTAAAGCTTAGCGATATTGGCTAAGAAAAAAATATGGAGTTGAGTCTTGAAATAATATACAATCCTTTATAGAAACGTAAGCCAATAAAATGGGGGGCCTTAAAACGTTCTCTGTTGTGGAAGAAAGCATTTGACTGATGGCCTTTGTAAGTTCGGATGCATATTAAAATCAGTCTTACCAAGAGCCTAGAGCTTAGATTCAAATAAATAATATAAGTAATGTGTTAGAGCATAAATTGAGTTACCTTTAAAAGACCGCTTCATRCAACCTGTTGCGTTTCGCAAATCAGAGTCGTCTCCTAGAAAACGCGGTGGCGGAACATGCGAGCAATCTAATTTGAAGTGGTTTTCCTCGTCGAAGTCATCCCCACAGCCTGAGTGGTAGACGGATTCGCATGAGTAACATTGGATGGCCCAAGCTATTGAAAATAAGAAGTTAATTTCATATTACTTTTAGTATTTATTGTGTGTGCAGACAGACAACTTTTAATAAGTGAAAGCATACGTAAACGGAAAGCATGCTTTATATGATCTTTACATGGTGCGTTCCAAAGTAAACAGGACTTTTTGAATCCAGCATCCCCTGGTGGCGCCGTTAATATGTCGACTGGTGCGTTAGAATCTGCTATCTTTATCGAATGTGAGTGAGAATTTCATGATGTTTCATTGATTGGAAATGAAGTTATTGCATTTTAAGTGTCAGTATGTTTGTGTTATCGGTGCGAAAATGAGCTTCGAACTAAGAGCCAACATTAAATTTTGTTTTAAAATTGGTAAAACTTTTACCAAAACGTTTCAAATGATGAAACAAGCTTATGGCGATGATTGCCTATTCCGCAGCAAAGTGTACTAGTCGTTTCTACGTTTTCAAAGTGGTTCTGACGACATAAATGACGATCAACATTTGGGCCAATCAAAATCCATGATCATCGGAAAATCCTTCGAAACTGTGCGTGAATTCATCAAAATGGAGAAATGGAATTGAACATCTCCAAAACGTCGATTTATCGCATTTTGACCGAACATTGGGGCCTACAAAAGGTGTGTGCACGGTTTGTTCCGCACAAATTGACTGACGACCAAAAATTGCTCAGAATTCAACATTCGAAGGATGATTATTTGACCAAAAATCACATTTTAACCATTAACCACTAACCGTATTCACATGTTATGGCATCTCATGACTTCTTTCTTTTCGGAAAAGTGCATTTGCCCATGAAAGCAAATCGTTATGCAGACGTAGAGGCTGTTCTTCTGCTTTATTAGCGATTCCAACCTAGCCACGCTCTTCTCCACCTGTTTTTCCAACATGATCTAGCTAGTCTAAATGCTGTCTCTTAACTCGCTGAACTACATCAGATCAGGGAGAACTTTACTATTACTAGTGTATAAACCKATTCAGGAGGCGAACTTTCATTTATTTTTGTAAATAAGTTTTTGTTTTTGTAAATGAAGATCACTTATTTAACCAAATAATTCGACGGGATATAAGGATCACTATCAAAGTTTCCGCCAAGTTAAAACATATGTTTTCTTACAATTGTGGTTTTCAATGAGAGCAACCATGGATCGGTTTTGGACCACTTTTACTCATCGAAGAAGGGAATAGGCTCAACACGAGATGACCGATCTTAACAAGAAAATATATCCAGCGATGAATCTAACTTTTGGTTAAGTAGGTTAATAAAAAATGGTCGCATTTGGAGTGATAATAATCCACAAAACATTTTGAGACATCGTTCCCTGCTCAAAAAGTTATTGTTTGGTGGATTAATAGGAAGAAGGAATCAATGTTCCATATTTATTCACAGAAAGAATGGAGAACACTAAATGATTAATGAGTTTTTCGTGTCTGAATTGAAGGATAAGCCTGAAAAGAATATAATCGCTCCTTAATATAAAAATCGGTTTAGTTAAAAACGACTAAAATTGATAAATCTATAAATAAATGCGTCAGAAACATAAAATTTTAGACCCGAGAGGCTTAGAGAGAATTATATAGAAGTTGTTGTCAAATTTAGACAAAGGACGTGGCAATGAACACATTTATGTGAGAACTCTGCTCACTCGATTTCATCCAAACTCAGTAGATAATATTATTTTGATATTCAAAGATTACAGTGCGAAATTAGACAAAAMTCTYCCCTACTWCYCATATAARACAATTTTAAATGACATCTRATTWTTTCGCTTTCCAGTATACAAATCWATAATAGTGTCTTTGAAGTGTACCACCTTATGACCAAACATCGGACTAAACCTTTTCAAGTCCCCAGTTACCGAATATCTGGACCACAGTTCTTACTGAGAACTTTTTATCTAAAATACATATCAACCTGTGAGATATATTACGAGCCAAAATTTGTTCAAGCATCAAAAAACAAACGAAATCGTCGCAATTGGGATGAAAAGCAATCTGAAGAGATTTAAGAGCTGCCTCTTCGTCCAGAAAAAATAATGGTTTGGTGTGATTTGTGGGATGGTGGAATCATTGGTCAAAATTTTTTTTAACAATGATGTTAACCCATTATACTTGTATGTTGCCTGGAATTGGAGGTCATGCTCTCGATGACATTTCGTTTTAACAACACGGAGCCACTTCCCACACATCGCATCAATAAATGGATTTATTGAGGTAACACTTCGGTAAATCGATAATTTTACGTTTTTGACTGGTCGATTGGCCACCAATATGGTGTGATATCACACCGTTAGACTTTTCCCTCTCATATGTAAAGTCTGAAGTCTGTGGGGACAACCCCGCTTCGCGTGTCATTCGCCAGTTCCCAGTTAATATGTTCGAACGAATCATCGAAAATTGGACTCAACGGATGGCCCATCTGAGACGTAGCCAAGGCCAACATTTTAAAGAGATAATATTAAATAATGAATGAATAAGAAATAAATGTCAAAGAATCTTCTTTCGATGGATAATAAACATTCCCCATTAAATTTGAAGTTTCTGTGTTTTTTCTTTTCAAAATAGAATATTCGAGTAATGGCAAAAGTTAATGCAATCAGCCATCATCTTTTCTGTWTCCAATATACCGTAAATAGTTATAAAACTAGGTGAATTTATRATCTATAATATGAGTTAATAAGCTGCAAATTTGATGCAATTCTACCAATCAGCATCTCCTCATAGATAGATGAATGGATAGGCAACTGGAAATCAATTATTCATGTCATTTCTCGTTTTAGTCAATTGAAAAGTCCCTACTAGAATTATATCCATATGATACCCCAAGAGTTTCACGAGTTTCCGGACATTGCGCCAGGAAAACCAGCCATCGAGAATAGGTTTAGTTTAGACGTTGTGAAATTAGCTCCGAATACGGTAAACGCATTGGCTATCGAAATTATAAAAAGAGCCCACAAAACAAATTTTGGCTTAGAGTAAAGAGAAGTTGTTCGAGTTGACAGGCACTCTAAAGATATCAACGAAACGTGTACATCACGAATATTTGGGTGTGATGATATTTTGGGTATACCTGTGGGCGAGCTTATTTTCGTCCAAAAAMAACGACAAGTTGCTGATTCAGAGCAGTGTTTGGAGATGTTCAAAGGTAATATGACAATATATGACAATGAATGAAACATGGTTCCAATCGAAAGTCATTCGAGTGGACTGCGCACGATGAACCCGCTCCAAAGCGTGTAAAAACGCAACAGTCGGCTGGCAAGGTTATGGCGGCTGTACTTTGGCATGCACATGAAATAACTTTCATTGACTACCTTATAAAAGCAACGATCTTCAACAGCTGAAAAATGGGCACATTTGAAGAAAATGAAAGTGATGTTTTACCAAGGCAATGCACAGTGTCACAAGTCATGAAAACGATGGCAAAAATTCTTGAATTGTGCTTCGAATTGCTTCCGCATCCACCATGTGCTCCAGAGATTATTTCCTGTACTCAGATCTCAAAAGAATGCACGCTAGCGTGATCGCCGAAACTGAAGCCAATTTTGTAGCAAAGATTAAATTGTTCTACAAAAATGGTATCGAAAAGTTGGAGAGTTGCTATAATAAATAGATATTGGTCATTAGTGGTTGCTCGTTTGTGGGAACTCTATATTGCATATAGCTATCATACAAACCGAGCGATCAGAATAAACTACATGTTAGAAAATACTTTTTATTTACCAATATATCTTCAGGAAATTAAGAATGCGTTATTTTTATGATCAGCAATGCAATCTCTGAAAATATTGTTCAGATCAAGTCACTGTAACATATACATAGCTGCTATACAATTTGACAAATTCAAATTCTTGTAAGGTTTTTTTTGTAATTGTGAAAGGTATTATAGCTTTAGTGCAGCCGAAATTAAAATTTTTCTTGTTTAATGCAAAAAAACTAACAACAAGGTACCTCAGCACCATATGCTCCGTGTCAAAAGACCATCAACAGTTGCCCTGACAAAAGACTGCCTACTCTTGATTACAACAATAATTTTGTGATAATCTGTTTGGATAATGCTTGCAAATAGTCAAACAGCTGTTGAAACTCCATTGTCATGTCCGCAATAGTTCAACATTTCTCTTATAAATAAAGAAAACATATGTTATTTGCAACAATTTGCTATACAAACCATTGACGACCAAACTGAGCAACAAAATGACTAAGCAGAAAAGGCGTTGCATCTTCTTTCCGTGCGTTGTTCGCTTACACTTTTGAACTTACTACCGCAGATTYTAAAATATCGAAGATTTATGTGTATGTATGATACTGGGATGCAGAATGCGAAATTTATTGCACAATTAAATTCGACTGGATGCCACTGGAAGCACAACATACGTTTCATAAGCACATACTTGTATGCATGTGTGTCTCGTGCGTATAAATAGCTTTCGGTGTCGGAATTTTCTGATCTCGTTTTCTCAGTTATWTGTTGATTTCAATGTAGCGTAGCATAGTAAAGATCAGGAATTCATATTTTCACGCGAAAATCAAATAAATCTAATAATGAACCAACCACTGTTATGCATACAAATGTTTGTACTGATTTTCAAATATTAATACTTTTATAATTCTCCAAGAGTGATGAAATTATTTCCACTTTTTCACTTTCCAAACTTTTTATTCTTTTTTTGTTTTTTCTTCACTAGTTCTTTCTCAAACTGCCTTGTTGTGTGCACTCTCTTTCTCTACTATATTCCCGATTTTTCCAATTGTGCTGAAAATGTATTTCATAATCATTTACACGGCATAATTCAATAATTTCGGAATGCTCCTTTCCCAACCACACAATCACGCGTCCGAATTTGTACTGCCCCATGTGTGTAGTTTCCAAAACCCCAGAGACAATTTTTAGACACGATAATGCCGCAAATAATTAAAACTCATTCCGCACACACAAGCACACATATTATATGCATACATATACATATGTATGTAACTATGTGAGTATGAACTTATAWTTTTCCACATTGATTTGACGCAGCACCTTTAAATGTTTCGATACCCATCACAGGTCTCTTGCATAGGAGGATTCTCCTGCCAATTCGTATGTACATATGTATACTGCTCATGCATTAACTCACGTTTGTATGTATGCAAATAGCCACACATTCTTCACCATAGTTGTGCTTTCTTTTATTTCCTCTGCTCTTTTATTCCAACGGCATATCCGCTCATTTATTGACTCATTTGCTGGTCGAGGCTCCTCGCGGCGTTTACATACGCCAGCACTGAAGCACATTTGTTTGGAGCAGAGCGATAGAGAGCACGCAGACAGTCGGCGTTAATTACTCTTTGGCATGTAGCTGTTTCGTGTGGGACACCTCCTGTTGAGCAGATTATAAACAAAATATACCCAGCTGGAAATTTTTAGTATGACTATTTATCAAAAGCTTTTACTGATGTACATACATATAAACAATTGAGTTTATATATGTTTATATACACAGTTATTTATATATATACTTGATGGCTATACCTTAAAAAGTTGGCTGGATAGAAAATGGAAGATGTAACATGTGGAAGCTTGTTCTTGTCGGAAGGCRCCTTTATTGACTTTAACTAATGCCCAGACCAACTTA